GAGAGAGAGAGAGAGAGAGAGAGAGAGAGAGAGAGCGAGAGCGAGCGAGCGAGCCTGTGTGCGTGTATTCCAGTATTTATGAACCTGCGTGTGCCGAGTGGGGGTATATGTGTATGTGTGTGTACGCATATAAGTGTGTGCGTATGTTACGTAAGATTGCGTGCGCGTGTTGTGTGCGCGTGGGTGTGTGCGTATGTGTGTGAGTATACCTGCTTGTATGTACTGTGTGCGTGTATGTATGGCGTGTATGCGTGTACGCGCGTGCGTGTGATGCGTCTGTGTGCGTGCGCGCGTGCGTGCGTGCCGTAACGCACGCCGAGTAACCGATGCCTGTATGCGTATACCTGTTTGTATGGCTACGCACGTGCGTGTGCGTGCGTGTGTGTATGCGTCTGTGTGTGCGCGCGCGCGTTTACTCGTATGCCGTAACACGTTCCGAGTAACCGATGCTCTGTGTACACGCCTCATAGCGTATAATATGTGATACATTAGCAGCTGCTTAAGTGCAGCGCAGATGTCATGTATTGATGTGAATCTGCATCGAGCTGTGAAGCCATCAATCAGGAGCTCGTGCATACATCGCCGCTGCTGCTGCCGGCGACTAGCCCAGCACCGCCGCCGCGAATAGAACACGAGACACGCACACGGATCATCTCCCGGAAACCTGACGTGCATGCTAAAGTGCCTTTCTAATCCGTAAGGTGGCCGTTTTTACGCGATGAATTGCTGCTGCATTAGTCCGGTGCGCGATGAATTTGCAGTATTATATACGATGTATTGCAGTATTATATACGATGTATTGCAGTATTATATACGATGTATTGCAGTATTATATACGATGTATTGCAGTGTTATACGATGTATTGCAGCTTTATGCGATGTATTTGCAGTGTTATACTATGTATTGCAGTGTTATACTGTGTATTGTAGTGTTATACTGTGTATTGTAGTGTCATAAGCTGTATTGCAGTGTTATACGCTGTATTGTAGTATTATGCTATGTATTGCAGTGTTATACGCTGTATTGTAGTATTATGCTACGTATTTGCAGTGTTATACGCTGTATTGTAGTATTACACGATGTATTGTTCGTCTATCCGCTCGTCTATCGATGCAGATCGCGTCGTGGTGGGCAGGAGCGGCATGCGTGCGCCGCGGGGCATGTGTTCGACGCTGCGACGTCATGACATGACGTCACGCTGCGACGTCATGTCATTACTCATCGTGTGTGAAGAATGCTCGTGATGGTGATCAATGTATCTCTGTTCGTTCACCTATTCTGTCCTCGTCTTCACAATCACCATAAATGTCTCTCGCTGTCTCTTTCTCTCTCTTTCTTTCTCTCTCATTCACACACTCTTCCTTTCTCTTCCGGTATCTGTCTCTCTCAGCTCTTTCTCTATAGAACTCTCCATCGGTCTCCACTATACGGGCAAGTACTATTCCAACAGACGCACACAGTCACACACACACACACACACACACACACACACACACACACACACACACA